CCATCAGAGCGCAGAGTGAGTACTGTCTCAAAGATTTATGACCTTGATGTCCTTTCTTTCATAACAAACAGAAAGTAAATTTAAGGAAGACGGAGAACAGGATGTACAGGATGAACAAACATCTCAACAATTAAAGGATTCACTTTTCATAATCCACAGCTATCACACACTGGAGGTTATAACTCGTTTGTTGTTATGTTGTATGGCTCTATGTTGCGTTCTCTTTTCAACAGTGTAATAAAGACATGCACTCTATGTGCACTTGAGACTCAGAATAAAGAGTTTCATTCAAAAATGTCAATATCAATATTTTGTAAATTGTACAACCAGATTCCTCAGCTAAGACTCTATGTGCAGTTTTTTACATGATATGTTGTGTGATTTTGTTTGTTTTTAAGACAATGTCATTGAGGTGTCCCTGTCCTCTGCGCAATGCATGCTGGGATACTCCAAGCCAGAATAGCAAGAATAACCAGGTAAAGAAAGAAATAGATACATTATCTGTGATAACTTAAAAAACAAAAAAAACTCACACACTTATGCAGCTCAAACTTCATTTTCATAACCTTAATCTGCTTTCTTGCAGGGAGACGGTCTGAGAGATAAACCACAGCTTGTGCCTTTGAGAGAGCTGCATAAAGAAGACAGACGTGACCAAGAAGGAACGACAGATGACGACATCGTTAAATTTTCCCCCACAGTGTAGGAGTCTAGAAAATGAAACTTTTTTTCCTGAATACCTTTGTAGAATGACGGCCGCCTTTCCTCTTTGGCAGCACTTTTTAGTACTTGCCTTTTTCCCTCAATTCAACTCTTCACTCAAAAAAAGTTATTGTCTTTTTGTCGGTCAAAGTGTGACCCACATTTGGAGCAAAATTTGGGTTATCAAAATCTATTTCTAGAATGAATCTTTTGTTCAGAGTATTATAGGATAATGAAGGGATTAAGAATGGTGCCAGGGAATATATATGAAATACTTTCAGGTGTTATTGTAATTCTTCACTGAAAGGCTCTTTCATCAGGACTTTAATTCTGGCATGACCTATATCTGCAGTAATGCAAACCTGTACGTCTACCAGTCTTAACAGATATGGGAACGACAGTCTAAGGTGAACTGAATGAACAGTAACTGAACTCTTTGTTTCCTTGTGGCTAGAAAACACTGTAAATCTATCAGATGCCTTTTAACCCTCAGGTGAAAAAAGGCAGACTAGCTGCTTGGCTGTTGCTCATCCAGTCCAAACACCTGTCACACAAATGTTAATAAGAAGCATTGTTAAAGCCCTTGGTTTAACCTAATTCATCATAAAAACAATGTTATCTGTAAATCAATTGTACTTTTTTGGTAAATGATGTGATGAGTGCATTCTATTTTTTAAAGTGTATTAAATATAAATAATATATAATATAAAAATGTTTCTTTGAGGTTTACTCTGATCTGATCACGTTTTTATTTTGTCTGAGACTATAAGATAATGAAAACCCACATTATATTATTGATGTTTTAAGCTAAAACTGGTCATTCATTTAAGGAGCTTATAGGTCATTAATCATTTCCTGTTAAGTAATATGTGGTCTTTGCTGTAAGAAAGATAGTGGTGGACATTGCGAATAAAATGTCAAGTCCTAACTTAGCAAGCAGGCTTTAGGATCACAGCTGCCTACGGACAACTAAAGTTGTTTCAGGATTGTTATGACTGGAGGGGTTCCGGTTATAAGAACCTGTATTAGAGTTATAATCACATTACATTTCCTTTTCAGGATGAAGCTGCAGAAAGCTTCTTAAATAGTTCACTGCCGCCAAGTCTACAATGATTGGTTAAAGTCTGAAGTATACTGACGATAGTTTCAGTTTATTTCCTTATAGATTTTTTTTCCTTTATATTTTTACCTGATATACTTTTTTTTTTTATGATTTTACCAAAAAAATAACATACTTACCAACTAATTTCCTCAAAAGCTGGAGCATTGTGTGTAAAATGGAAAACAAAACAGAATGTGATGATTTGCAAAACATTGAAATCCCATATTTGATTGAAAATAGCTCAGACAGCATTTCAAATGTTAAAGCTGAAAAATGTGAATGCTTTGAGAAAATGCTGTGCACAATTTGAATTCCGGGCAGAAAAATTGGGACATTGGCAACAAAACAAAGAAAAAGGTGTATACTAAGGTTAGCTGGCAACATGATTGGGTATAAAAAGAGCATCCCAGAGAGGCAGAGTCTTTCTAAAGTAAAGATGGAGGCTGGAGAGGGCTTTGCCCCTCAGCAAAAGACTGTGTGGGCAAGAAATATCTGCATGTAGGGGACAAGGCCATAACCCAATATCGGATGGCAATGATCTTCAGGCTCTCAGATGGACCTGCATGAAAAAAAAGACATGATTCTGTAGGGGACATGACTGCATGGACTCAGGAAGACTTTCAAAAACCATTGTCTGCATAAACAGTTCATCGCTGCATTCAAAAACGCTAGAGCTGAAACTATTGCAAAGAGGAAACCATAACCAGGGAAGACTCTGTCCTCTCTGGGTTCAGGCTCATTTAAGACGGGCTAATGTGAGGTTGAAAACTTTCCTGAGGTGAAACAAGTCACAATTTGACTTTTTGACTGGAAATCCTGGACGCCTGTGAACTGGAACGAAGAGGAGGGACCATAGGGCTCGTTTTCAGTGCAGTTAGAACACCAACATCCCTGGTGGATGATGGGTTTGCATTAGTGCACATGGCTAACCTGCAAATTGGTGGAAGCGCCATAATGCTGAGCAATACGAGTTCCGAAGCTACAAATGCCGCCAAATACACATCATCTTTTTCAGGGAAATGGGGTTGTATAATGTGAATACATCAAGTTAGAAATAATATTGGGAACATGGGTTAAGAAAAGACAGTTTTCACAGAAAATATGTAGCTTTGTCTTGTGTTAATACATCTGTATAAAGTTTTATTGTTACATTTTTTTCTCTTAAATTTTTATTTTAACTATGTTTTTGATTTTTACACTTACTATTACTATTTTGTTCTTTGAGTTAGACCCTGCCCACTTTAACATACAGGCAACACAATCAGCTCTCATTTTAAAGGTGAGAGGATTTTCTACCCTATGGGGTTGTGTAAAGCCTATGCATATGTAGGTGAATACTGACACCTGCTGATGATTGAATGTCACTCCAGACTCCAGATATACACACATGGTCGACATCCATTCATCATGGCTGCCAGATACAAGAAACCAATACGTACCAAAAGACCTCATGTTACATGATGATCATTTATTGCATTTTTTTTTTGTTCAATATCTCACCCATTCTCACTATACAAAAGTAAGCATTACATTTCCTCACACGTTACCAATCCAGAACAAACTGGTAGGCCAAGCTGAAGGCCTGTCATTCAAATGTGTGATTGCACTTCCGTGCACACTGGTCCCTCTCTTCCCTTCTCGTTAACCCGCTGCTTCACCACTCGTCTGCGGCCCTGTTTGAGTCCTCGTCCGCTACAGCACAGTCCAGGCGCTGCACACCGGGAAGCGCCAGGTCCCTTTCATTAAGCTTCTCCAGAAAGGAGGAGAGCAGCCTTTTGTTTAAATGGTCCGTCAGGGTCCTCTCTTCTTCCACCCGCTCCTTGACGACATTCTCTCCAGACTCCACTTCTTCCGCCTCGGTGTCCGCGGCGAGCTGCGGAGGGGCCGACTGGTTGTTCAAGGACAAGCCGTTCGAGTGCTCGCCCTCCCCGGTCTGCTGTTCCGTCCAGCTCCCGGCGTCCGCCCCAGATTCCGTCTCCATTTGTGATATCAAAGTGGTTTGCAATGCAGCATTTTCCAGCTCCTTCAGGCGCTTACTGTGGAGGCCACAGGCGGGCGGTTCATTTCCAGTCGGGTAGATGTTGTTGTTGTTGTGAGGTGGCTCACCAGTTTGCTCCATCATGTTCTGCGTCAGGAGAGTTTCCCATAGAAAAAGAAAGACCTCTGTGGCGCAGATTGTGAAGTGTCACCTCCCCGTGGCCACATATGTTACTGCATCATTCATGATAAAAGTAGCCCACACACTGCAGCAATCGATGCCCTTTCCTGTCCCAAGAAGTCCAATGTGTTCACTATTCATTTTTTTTTTTAAGCCAGGTTTCCAAATATTCAATTTAAGTAATAGTCATGCATAAAAAACTTTCCTTATTAAAAGTAGGTCACTAAAATTAAGGTCAATACTTTAAATTGTAATAATAATAACTTTATTTATATGGCACCTTTTTAAAAACACAGGTTTACAAAGTGCTTTGACAAACAAGAGCAAAGCAAACTAAACCAAACACAGAAGAACATTAACAACAGCAAGAACATAACAAATGCTAAATGCTAAAAATAATTAAATACAATTCAACAGAAAAGAACCCTAAAGTGCACGATACCCAACAGACATATATATAACCCGACCGTCACAAGAACCATGATAAGAACCCAGGCAACACAAGAACCCAACAACACGAGCTGAGACCAAGAGGAACCAAAATTTAAAAAAGAAACTAAAATAGCTGAAATAAAATAAAAAAGATAACCGCAATAAAGAGCAGTAAAAGAAATAGAAACAAGTGGTTAAAGGATCAAGAAAACCCAAAACTATAATATTAATAAAAATCAAAAGTAAATATAAATATGAAACATAAATAGACAAAGTAAGTAAGATAAGAAATTACCAAGTTAAAACACAAGAGCAGTTAAGATATGAGCATAAATACGAGATAAGAGCATAAATAAAAGAACAGTAAGAAGTAAAAGAAGACAAAAAATAGTAAAACCAATAAGAAAAGACATTAAGAAGACGACATCTCATAGTAAATTGTAAAAGTAAACTAAGACATTGCTGAGAAGATAAAATATAAACATAGCCTCAATAGATCCAAGGCTGCCTTCATTTATATTTTGACAATTATGAAAAATGATAATTAAATCATAATTAATTGCAGATGATGATGTCATGTTCGCTAATCTTTCTGGCTTGGCTGAGCTTCCGTACAAAAAAAGTATTGGTTTCCATGGGGACGAACGAACATCTAGCTAGTTCAGATACTACAACGAAAGGTAAAAAACCTTAATATCAAACCAATAAAAACAATGTGACATATGTGCCAGCCGTCCGTCGAGTAGTTAAGAAAAGTGTTCTCGGTTAGCAGGCCGATTTTCTTGTTTTACCATCGACAACCCCAAGCGTTCGCTCTTCAATGTAGCCACATGCTACCTAGCCTCTGCTGCAGCGTCAGTGTAAACATCGGCTGCTAGTGCAACATAAACGAATACTGAGATCCAGTTTAGTGTTCAGCGAAGGAATCTTGTGTATCAAGCGAGATGTTTTCAAATGTATGATTACAGAGTTGCTGTCTGACCAGAATTATGACGACCTTAACTACGAAAGTCTATCTTTACAGATTATTATGCAGATTCATTTCAAGTCTATCTTTACAGATTATTATGCAGATTCATTTCAAGTCTATTTTTACAGATTATTATGCAGCTTCATTTCAAGTCTATCTTTACAGATTATTATGCAGATTCATTTTAAATCTATCTTTACAGATTATTATGCAGATTCATTTCAAGTCTATCTTTACAGATTATTATGCAGATTCATTTTGAAGTCTATCCTTTACAGATTATTATGCAGATTCATTTTGAAGTCTATCTTTATAGATTATTATGCAGATTCATTTGCTTGGTTGTCTGTTAAATCATCTTCTTTCTTCTGCTGTTAGAGGAGGAATCCGTACATGTCTTATTGTCAAGTCCTCAAACGTCAAAATGTCCTTCAGAGACTTAAGAAGTAAGTGTTGCTCTCACTCACGATTAACATGACATCATCTCACAGGAAACCCGGTGTTATCGTGTCCATGCAGGACAGTAAATCACAATTGCATCACTTTATTTGGCAGATTTCACAGAAATGATGAGGGCCTTGGGCTATCCTCGTTTGATTTCGATGGAGAACTTCAGAACGCCAAACTTCACTTTAGTTGCAGAAATCCTAATATGGCTTGTAAAAAGGTATGCCAACACTTCTCATATTCTTCTTTTGTAATAAAGTACAATCTGAAAAGCGATGATGGTTTCTTAATTTAAGGCTTTTATGTCTTTATTGCCTCATAACATATTTATCACACCTTTCTTTGGTAGTTAAACTGGAAATGTATTTCGCAATATGTTGTTACTTCATATGTTGAGTTTGACCTGTCCCAGAAGTCTGTTTAATTTAATCAGCCAAAATCCCTCTCTTTCTCCACTGCATAGATACGAGCCTCAGATGGATATCCCTACTGATGTAGACACAGAGTCAGACAGAATATTCTTCATCAAGGCGGTTGCCCAGTTTATGGTGATGTCTGTTCTTTAAGTCATGCCGAATGTACAACTAACTTTTTGAAGACCTGCAGTTAGGTCGCCTGTCTTAACTGTTGTCTCTTGTGGTTGCAGGCAACGAAGGCTCACATCAAGTTAAACACCAAGCGTCTCTACCAGGCTGATGGCTATGCAGTGAAAGAGATGCTGAAGATCACCTCAGTGCTGTACACTGCAATGAAGACCAAGCAGATGACACTGGGGGATCAAATCGAGGAGGACAACAGCAAGTTCAAGTTTGACCTCGGATCACGTGTGAGATGTTCTGTTTACACTTTATAATATGAAGACTGTGTTGGCATATTAAGCTCAAAACAGCCCTTTAATCTACAAGGAGTCTGGGAAAGAAAAGTTACATCAAGTGACATTTAGACTGAGTCATTGTTGGAAACTACATAAAATGAGGCAAATTCCATATATTGTTTATTGAAGCAGATGTGAATGTGCTGCTGAAGAAATGTTTTTTTTCCTGCTGATTAGGTTTCACTCTATCTTCTCTTCAGATTTCAGATCTTAAAACAGCTCGGCAGCTGGCATCAGAGGTCACCTCCAAAGGAGCATCTCTGTATGATTTATTGGGAAAAGAAGTGGAACTAAGAGTGAGAGAAATCATTGAATTCACACACACTCACACACGCACACACACAGTGGCACACAAGAGAAAACATTTAAAGGAAAAGTTTTTTCTAGACTCAAAATTTTGAAATTATACAAAAATTAATTTCTCATGTTCTTTTATTCACACATTAGACCCAAACCAAATAGAATGATTTCCTCAGTGAAAAGAAAATGATGTAACCCTAAACAATTAAAACTTAAGTACTGTGCTTTTGTTTATGCAAAGCAAAACAAAGTTGCTACTCTCAGATGATAACAGCCGTATTATGCAAGTGTAGTCAATATGAAAAGATATCAGTGACAGTGGTGCAGAAGATTTCTCTAATATCTGAGTTTTCAATTTCCTTTTAGGAAATGAGAACCGCAGCTATTGCCAGACCTTTGGAGATCAATGAAACTGAAAAAGCCCTGAGAGCTGCCATCAAGGAGGTTTTGGTTTGTATTCATTCTTTTAACCTTCATCCATATTTTCACACGGCCTGTTTTTATCTTAATGTACTTAATCTGCTACTGTTGCCTATGTGTTCATTACAAAGGAGAGTGTGGAGAAGACCAAAGACATGCTTAGTAACGTTGTTTCTGATGAAACAAGTCTGGATGCAAAGATAGAAAAGAAGAAGCAGGAGCTGGAGAGGAATCGTAAGAGGCTTCAGACACTGCAGAGTGTCAGGTCAGTTCACAACCTGACGTGTATAATAATGGGATGACTTAGAGTAAAGTAAAAACAACAGCAACATGTTTTGTTCCTCCCACATTTTAAATCTGAACAAATCTTTGCTATGTGTGTTTCCTTTCCTCTTAAGAGATTGTCTTTTGTTTCTCTTTCAATGTTTTAGGCCAGCCTTCATGGATGAATATGAAAAGATAGAAGAAGATTTGCAGAAACAATATGACACCTATGTGGAGAAGTTCAGGAACCTCTGCTTCCTGGAGTCTCAGCTGGATGAATACCGTAGACTGGACCAGGAGAGATTTGAGGTGTGTGTATATGTCACGGACACCAGTCAGCGTCTGATGTTTGATTATGTGACTTCAATGGAAGTGCTTGGAAATGGCACTTTTATTAAGCATGTTGTGCTGCCTATTGTCACATTTCTGTATAAATCCAGCAGACAATGGGAATAAAATGACCACTGGTGAGATCTGAAGATGTGTGAAACATTAGCGTCCCTCTTCCTTTCTTGTAGAAATGACAATAAATGACTCTGTGATTAAAATTCAGATGGGATAAAAGTGTTTTTCTATTTCTTTTCGTTGCAGGAGGCTGAAAACACAATGAGGATGATGCAGCACAAATTGAAGGAGGAGGAAAGAGATCTAATGAGGAGTTCTTGTGAGACAACAAATTACAAACTGAGCAAGCTAAGCAATAGTCACAATCACAACCCCCATTATGTGACTGCAGATGCTTTTAAAAAATTTAAAAAAAAAAAACGTTTTTCTGCAGTGAAAGACGAGGACTCTGACATGGATGTTCCAGAGGATGAAGGTTCAGACAGCGACATGGAAGTGAATCGACCTTCCAAGCCAAGGCCAACACGAAACGGCATCATGGCAGGTACACAGGCCAAGTCCATGTCTTAAACTCTAATTTTCTTATTACAGAATATAAATGTTTATCCATTTTCTGTGGTTCTGATCATTTGTATGTGGTTTGCAAAGATAAATCAACAATAAACATAACATGATTTCATGTAAATGTAATGTTGCCTCTATTTGCACCATAGGTCGAGGAGGAAGATTCATTGGGAACATGCAGGGAGGTGACAGCGATGAGGTTAGTACTGTATTAGACACATCAAGTAAAGATTCCCTCCTTCTTTCTCTACAGTCACACATCTCCTTATGTCTGTCCTGTCTCTCTCGCTACAGAATGACGTGCTTTTAACAGTGGTATTAACTAAGTGCCCCATGCACCAGTTTCATTTTCGGATCAGATTTTCCGTTTCACTTTGAATTTTCCATCTTGCCTTTGTTCCACATTTGACTTTCTCTGTCATACACTTGTGTTTTGAAAGTCCGCTTTAGCTGTTTCCAGACGGCCAATCCCTTATGTCAAAAAGCAACGGAAGGGAAAGGTTTGTTAAGGAATCTACTCTCCTAAATCCTTGTTCATCTATGTATTTAAAGGAAAAATCCATTCTCAAAACATTTGACAAAGAAAGGGTTGTTCGCACAGGACGGGGAACAGACCTTTATTAGCATTGCAAACCCTGTGTTCTGAAACTCCATTCTGCTCCACTGATACATCTGTGGGTATAAATGATATCGCTTTCTTGTCTTTCAAATGCATTCTTACATCCGTGAGATTAACAGTAACAGTGTTGAAGTGTCTGAACTGGATTTTTCCTTTAAATTAGGTTAAACTGGTCCCTTTAGTTGACTGGCTCTTGGTAGAAGTGTCCCAGTTTAGTGATTTACTATTAAATGAGGTCTGGACTGGGCGTGTTTCCATTACAGCCAAAGAGATGGTTCAGTAATTAGATCCTCCTGTCTGATGTTAATGTGAGACATTAGAATTTAGCTTTAAACTAGAATATAAAACATTTCCATCCATGTTGTATTGCACATTGAGTGATCAGTAATTACACGAGTGAATAAAGTAGATACCTGCTTGCTACCCCCTGTTTCAGACTGAAGACAGTGAGATTGATGTGGATGAGGACGATGAAGAAGATGAGGAAGGCGAGGAAGAAGAGGAGAGCAAGGATTTGGAGGATGACAGTCTGGAGGGACCAGTGTCCGGGGGTGCTCGCCCTTCCAGGGGTGGTATGAGACCTCCTATCCTGGAGGAGAGTGACAATGACTTCTGAGTGTAGAACACACATAAAGACAGGCTCCTGCTGATTCTGTTTCCATCACCTGTAAAAAAAACAACAAATGCATTAATCATTACATTAAACCATATCGTTTTTGATTAGTAAAGCATAAGCACAGATCCTGTTTTTAAATATGTGTTAACTGTTTATGTAAATAAAAGCTGAACTATTTTATTTTCTGTGTCTGTTGACTGAAGTCCGACAGGTGCATAATGTTTCATTGTCATTCAAATCAATTAATTTTATTTTTTATTTTTTTAACTTTATATAAATAGTGTAGAATTTTTATTTTTCACTGAAAAATAAAAGAAAAACATACCCAGTTTATAATACATGAAAAACATACCCAGTTTATAATACATGAAAAACATACCCAGTTTATAATACATGAAAAACATACCCTGTTTATAATACATGAAAAACATACCCAGGTTATAATACATGTTTAGTTTATGACCAAAATGTACTCCTAGAGGAAACATTTATTTTAGTTCAAATGTAAATTGTCAAGTCATTTTAATTTTGTTTTGTGAGTATTTGCAGCATTTTTTTTTCTTTAATGTGCGAGTCATGTTACATTCAAAAATTCATCTCTGGAAAATATTTACAGTCTTAATGCTTCTTAATCATACAGCGAGGCACAATGTGTCAATACATTCACCGTTTCAATGGATTCTTAAATCTTTAAAATGAAAACAGCCAAAGTGAAACTACTTTAAAGTTAATGCGAAGTCGAAAAGCAAGAAGTTTGACTTTAAAATGTAGTGGAGTATGGAGCATTTGGCTTTATGTATGATGATGATGTATGAGGAGGAGGAGGAGGAGAGGAGTGCAGCACACATTTTCGGTGAAAGAATCTACGTCATCAGTGTGCGCAGGTTGCAGAGGAGGAGGTGGCAGATGCCTCTTCGAAACAACACTGAACTGTTGTCTACCTACTACCCGGTTTTTCCTCTCATACTGGTATGAAACCGCTTTATGCTTGAATATATATAAACTGGGATTAGTATCCTCTCAGTTAAATTTCGGCAAAGTTATCTAGGGACTGAGTCGTTTCAAAGCGTGGAGGCTTGTTTACCAGGCTAACAGTAGCTAGCTGTAGCTAAAAACCTAAAACACTGAGCTGCAAAACTGAAGTCGTTTGTGTGATTTTTGAGCACTCTCATATGGTTATTAGTTTTTCCTAATCTTTGAGAAAGCATCTCTTTTGCTAAACTGTTTATCCACTAACCCACATTTTTCTAAAACGGTTTAGTGATGTTATCCTGCAGTCACACTGACACTGTATACAAAGATAATGCAGGGACACACAGTAGTATAAACATACAGATAGTGTAAAAACATGGTGTTTACAGGTTGATTTCAATTCATTGGTGTTAAAGAACAAAAAGTGCTGTTGGAATAAAAAAAAATAAAGCTACACTTCAGCTAGTGAATATGGTTTTTGTCTGTGTTAGTACCAGTCCCAGATCAAACTGGATTAATGTAGTCACTGTCAAACTGTCTGAATGATGAATGATGGTCCTTATCAATCCCCGTCTGTCAGCTGAAGAGCAGCTGTTGGGATGCCAAAGAAGTTCCAGGGTGAGAACTCAAAGGCCGCCACAGCCAAAGCCCGCAAAGCCGAGGCCAAGGCAGTGGCAGACGCCCACAAAAAGAAACAGGAAGAGGACGCCCTGTGGCAAGAAACCGACAAACATGTACTCAAAAAAGAGCAGAGAAAGGTGAGCTGACGTACTAATGAGGTGGACTGTTCATATTTCTGTCTTTTCATTGTTGTGATTTGGAGGCAGTTGCTGTTTTCTGGATTCTTTTGTGGACTGTCATCTGGAATAATTCAAATAACTCAATAACTGAAGTCCTGATGAGATAAACTATTAACCATCCCCAGTATAACACTATTGTAGTTTGTTAGCGAGAACTTAAAAAAAGAGTTTACATGCAATTTTAAGTGATCATCAGCATTAGTATGTGTGCCAAATAACAATTGGTGGTTTGCCTCTCAAAAGCAAATTGTTTTGCATACTGTCTTTTTACTGGAGTCGTCATAACTATGACTATCTTAAACTATCCCCAGTTTAAGCTGACCTAATTGTGGATTTTCTCAGTTACATGCAGAAATGAAATTATGGTTATCATGGCTGGTCTAGTTTGAAGTCAACAGGGAATTCTTTTCAACTTCATTGTTAATTTGTTATTATTGGTTACAGCAAAACTGTTTGGTTGTGGGGGTTCTTAATCCTCATGGCTGAAACGGGGTATTAAGAGTGATCGCGTGTGTTAACTTAAGTTTAGCCAAACTACTTAAAAACAACACATTTCTTAATCACAAATTCTGACTTGTGAACATTTCTGTTGTTGCAGGATGACAAGGAGAAAAAGAGGCTTGAGCTTCTGGAAAGAAAAAAGGAAAACCAGCGACTTCTGGATGAGGAGAGTGCTAGGCTGAAAGGTAAACTCCTGAAGGAGGCTGCAGCTGGAGGAAAGTTAACCCGAGCCCAGATTGAGGAGGCGCTTCAGAATGAGCAGCTGCAAGCGGAGCAGGAGCAGCAACAGCCAAAAGGTACAGTTAACGTTGAAATGTATGACAAATTCAGCTGGTTTATAGGAGATCAGTTACAGTGAAACATCATTGGCTGTTAAACAAATTTCTAAATACACTGTATTTACCGTGACACCGTCTTTGTCATGTCACAAAATAAAATTTCCTCCCACAGAAAAGAGCCACTTGGAGACTCCACTGGAGGAGAACGTGAACAGAATTATTCCTGAAGAAGGAAGTGTGGAAGCCAGAACAATAGAAGATGCCATCGCAGTGCTCAGGTAACATTTGAACTGACAGTCTGTTGTCTTTGTGATTACATTGATGCTGATATGTAATGTGTTCCAAAGGGTCATGAAACAGTTAACGTTACCTGTGAATGCAAGCAACCAATCCTTACATCCTCTCTCTCTGTTGCCAGCACTGGGCCTGATGACTTGGACCACCACCCAGAGAGGAGGATGAAAGCAGCTTTTGCTGCCTTTGAGGAGGCCAACATGCCCCGCCTAAAAAAAGAAAATCCCAACATGAGATTGTCACAGCTCAAACAACAGCTGAAGAAGGAGTGGATGAAGTCGCCAGAGAACCCCTTAAACCAACGTTTTGCTGGGTACAACTCAAAGTGAACGCACTCTCCTTCCCAATAACTCCAGATGAAAACTGGCTGCCTATGCGCATTTGAGACTTTCATTGAAAATTGAGTAATTCCATTGAAAAATGAGCATTGTTGATGAGAGCTTTACCACCAACTGCCCAGAAACAATCTCTTCCATACCAGAGGACTCGGCTTTGTTTGATTCACTTGCAGGGAGAAGATCATTTTCCCCTATCAAGGTCACAACTGATCCCTATGTTTGTGCACTTTGCTACTAATGAGGCAATTAAAACAATCTAAAAAGTAACAATTATTCTTCTTTCTAGCACTTCTGGCGAGGTGGGAAGTCTGATGTTTTCAGTGTCATTTATTAAATTTCACCACTCAATCATCAATTTCTCTTGTTGCTTTTAAATGCCAGACGTTCCCTTCTGTTGTCAAGAGGCACACATATCAAGTCGCACACTGAAGTTGAACTTTCTTGATAACAGCTGCTTGATTGCAATGTTATTTTTTTGACTGAGGAAAATGCTCATTTGCAAAAAATCTAGTAAATTGGAAATGACTGCAGCTGGGATTTCTTTTGTTTGTCTTCTGAGTTACTTGCAAGTGATCAAGGACCCACAGTGATCAGGAAAAGAGCCTGTCGTCGAGTGCAGAGGCTGAAGAATTTACTTGAGTCAGATTAGTTAAAATGCTTAGCTTGTTCCTCCCCTCAGCAGAGAGGCCTTGTAGTAACCAATCATGGGCTCATCACTCAACGAAATAGACGCTGAGTTCAGCTATTTGTACAAACCAACAGATGCTCTATTATGTTTTAGCGATACAGACACAAGCTTCCTAAAACATTAAGACCTCTTTCTTAGTCATCTCCAGACCTCAAACTGTCACTGAAATTCACTACCCTTCTCTAAAAAAAATCTATTGGGTTTTAGTTAGCCATCACTTCAGGGTCCTGACATATTGCTTTTATTTTCAAACAAAGGGGACCCGGGTCCTGATCCAAGCGCTCAGAGCATTGTTAGTGCTTTGTATAAATTACTGGTTCAGGCTTTCATGGTAAAACGTTTGACCTTTTCTGTGTCCTATTTATTTAGTTACTCTTTAAAAGGAGTCATATAAAATGCAATTGGGGCATAGCCTGCCATTTGATGAAATTCAACATCTTAAATCTATTTAAAATCAACATCAAAATTAACTTTCTCAATGAATACCCTTCTTTTTGAATGTATATCACTTTAATGTAAGATTTTCCCTCTGCCACAGAAGGCGCTTTAGCTTTTGAATTTGTTTGGTATTCATTTATACATCCAGCGTCAGTGTCCAGTGCTGCAGTCAGTCACAAAGGTTTTCTACAGCGCAGCAACATTTATATACTGAGCTGCTGAGGCAGCAGGCTGCCGGCTTTTTGTCTGAGGCCAGATGGAGAGACAGACAGCAGTCATAAAAAATGAACATTAGCAACCTAGCTGCTAAAAACAAAAAGCTGTATAAGATAAACCACTTAACTAATATATCCGTGTATATCGAGCAAGTCCATCGAATTCAATGGTTCAAATGCTTGGAAAGTACAGAAAATACTTTTTTCCAAAAATGAATCAATACAATAACAAATTGTATAGCCAAAATAATATAGCTTAGTGATTTATTTATTCGCTGTAAGAAAAGACATCTAATAATCACCATCCATAAAGTAAACATCATCAAACATCACAAAATCCAACTTTTAGGGTAGAACAATTACATCTGTGTAAACATTGTGGAGTCCATTTTTTTCTCACGCCATACTTTTAAGTTTTAGTATTATGTTTTCCAAATATATATTTTCATAACATTTAAAAAAAAAGATACTTTTGTTACATTTGTTATGTCAAAAAGCACACAACTGAAGAGGACTTGCACTCTGAAGTGGCCAGATGCATTCAGAGCAACATTTAAAAATGGGCGCCTTTGTCTATGCAGGCTCTTGTGGCAGAGGAGATAAGAGACTGTGGGAAGGCCTTTGAACAACAAAGCTTCAATGACAAGTTCAACTGACCTTTTATTTCCTTTTATGCATTGGAAACAACCACTTTCTTTTCTTTCCCCTAGCAACCTAATCAGTTCACTCTCATTTTATCTGGACTTCTTTGAGCTTCTGCGTGTGATGTCCCGACTAAACACGGCGGTCTGATGTTCAAGGTTTTTGTTTTTCTACATCCTAACCTGTGGCTGCACCCACCCACTCCCTGTCCATTTGCATGGCAACCCTTTAACAGGCCAGCTGCTGCTGCCCTTTTCTTTCTTGATGTTGAATTCTAATCATTACTTTCAAAGGAAAGCGTCTCCAAAGCTCCTTTATCAAGTGTTTGTACTGAGGAACAAGCTGCTGTCCAGCACCTACTCAAGCTGCTCGTCCTCCTCCTAAACCAGGAACATTCCCTATAAGTAACCTGCTTCTTCATGTTTGGAGAAAAAGGACACATGGAAGAAGAAGGTAAGGACTTTAAGGAGCAGTCATGACTTTTCTTTTTCATGAATTCTTTTTTATTTAGAAGAATTGAGATGTTGAATTGCAGCTCAAATATGTAAGTATACAATAAGTGAGTATATTAGGAATAATAAGGTTTGCATTCTTAGGAAATGATTACAGTGTTCAAGCTGTCTTTGTGATCTTTACAGACTTAACACTCAGGATGTTTGTTAGAGGCTAATACATTTTTATGGAATAAATATCTGTTGGAAAAAGAATCAGTAGTTTTCATATAAATGTGAATTGTATATGGTTTAGTGGTTAAATGATGATCACTGAATAGGTTTTCTTGGTAACGGTCCTCTTTGATTCTGTTTTGTGACAACATAAATTATCAAATAGTCTGTAGCACAAGATGACGTCCTAAAACTCACCTTTTTAACAAAGCTTTCTGCTTGTGCGTTTAGTTTCCTTAGTTGCTTAGTTGATGAAATTTGTTTTTATTTCTATTTGATTTTTTTCTGTAGAACTTCTGAGATTTTTTTTTTTTTAAAGATTTATTTTTGGGCTTTTTGTGCCTTTAATAGAGAGACAGGACGGGGGGGGGGGGCACATCTGATTCTGACAGACTGCTTCACATTCATAACCAGCTGAACACACAGTTTGAGGTTAAGAAAATTGTTGCTTCTATACAACAGTGATGGTTTTACACTCAACATATTTTCTCCCTGCATGACAACAGGAGAGTGGACTATTGCTGACTGGTGTGTTCGACTTTCCCCAAAATGTGTTTGGAGCAAAGGCCATTATTGAGGTCTAGGAAAGGGAAACATTTGTTGTAAAATGATAAAACAAAAATATTTTTCTTCTATTCTGCTGTCATTTGAGAATCCTACCTCAGCCTTAAAGTTGATTTAAGGTCTGTGTTTTTTGTAAAAGAAAAAAAAAAGGAGAGGGGGGATTGATGGCTACTGTGTGCACATTTGAACTGTAATATACTGCATTTCAATATTTTTTAGGATCTCTGTTGCATAGTGTCCTCATCTTTTGTCTTTCTCATCCCACTATTGTAATCCTAACTTCCATCTGTGCGTGCTATCTTATTTCAGCTCTTCAGTGATGCCATGAGGTTGATCCTTGTTAAACCCACCAATGCCACTCGACGTCTTGACTCAACAGGTGAAGTCTTCCATGACGGAGAGAATGAGCATTGTACCTCAGGAGGTCCATCAGGTCCAACAAAAACTCCTGAGGGACTGCATGATCAGTACTCAGGTGCCTCTTTGGAATCGTCTTCTTCTCCACAGGAGACGAGTCTGTGCCGTGTTTCGTCTTCACCCTGCGAAAGATCCAATGGAATCAGTCCAACAAGGATTCCAGCTCAGAAGTCTCCGGTGAAAACCGAAACTTAACCTTATCACAGCTGAGTGATCAGGACTGGCTGCTGCTGTGTGGCCAGGTTAGCAGTGTTGGAGATGGCTCAACATCAGCAGAGAGAGCAGGGACCAGTGTAGGACATCCAAACCACAATGACAGATGTGGTTGTTCTTGTCCTGGTGCACACCAACAACACTTAGAGGCTTCCAGTTTTCATCTGCCATCAAATCAGGGAACAATCCAAGACTGCTACTCCAGAGTTTCAAACAAGAAAAGCCTTTCAACTTCACCACAAACCCAACATTTCTCTCAAAGCACCCCAAACCGGACTTCTTGGCAGGTTATTCCACTGCCAACACACCAAAGGGATCTTCAGGATAATTTCATGCTTCAATGCAATGACCCAGAAGGTCGAAAAGATTCTTTGCAGCAACAGCCTTGCAATCATTTAAAACTTAAAGACAACGGCCAAGCAGTGCATCCAAATGTATTCAACATCCCTTTGAACTCCTTTGAGTGTGCTGAGGCAAATCTGAAACCACCTCACCAGCATTCTCAGTCTGCTGTTGCTGCAGAGCTCAACTGGAGGGAGATTTTTGGTAAAGAGCCATTGTTAGTTCAGCAATGTCAGAAGCAAGATTCTCAATGCGGGACAAGTGGCGATAAAACCTGCAAGTCATCACGAGAGCCCTCGATCATCCTCAAGTGCCGACACCTCCCTTACAATCCTTTGACTAGCACCCCGCGGATGAAGAGGTTGTCTACTCCGGCAAGTAACAAGAGTCTTCAGTCCTTCTCGGCAAGTCAGTTTAGTTCACCGAACCAGAATTTAGTGGAGGAGAGAGCTAGACAGGTACATACATATTATTTGTACAATACATTATCACTATTTTTTAAAAAGTAAATCCAATTATTCATTAAATTGCCATCAATGAAAACTTCACTTCATTTGCCTACCTATCATTACACATTGAAATAGTATGTTCCACAAATAGTGCACACATTATTTATGGAACAGGTTTTTAACTGTACAATTCAACTTTCTATCAAAATTGGCCATTTAAAATAAAAATAGGCAGTTCCCCAGTATGATTGGTCTTCTTTTCTTGTTGATATTCATTGATTTTCTTTTTAAGTCACTTTGGTTTAAATGCTTTTTTCTAATTAAGTGTGGTTTCTGGTTGTAAATAATGTTTTTGTTTTGTTTTGTTGCAATCTGCTTTTTTTAGCATAAAAATATTTTGGCTGAATAAATCCATACCCTGTTCTGTCTGGCATACTTCTTGTGCAGATGACCTCTCAGCACCACATTGGATCGAAACCATCCCTCCCTAAACATACATCTCCACCTTCTGACACCTTTGAAACAAGTGACCTAGTCAACGGGGATGCAGTGCATCCGCTGAGCAGCCATGGCACTTTGAGATCCAGTCTTTCAGAACTCAACTCTGGCCAGCAGCCTCTTCAGCTTCTTCACAGCACCATCCTGGAGGACGCCTTTTCCAAAGTCATCAGAGAAGATTCCAGTAAGGCCAACAGTGAGAACCTGACCAGGGAAGAAGGCAACGTACCACAGAAGAAGACCAAGGACATTAGCTACCGGCTGGGTCAGAGAAGGGCTCTCTTTGGGAAGCGCAAACAGTTAAGCGACTACGCCTTGGTCTGTGGGATGTTTGGCATCATTGTCATGGTGATTGAGACAGAGCTTTCAAGAGGATTTTACAGCAAGGTGCCTTCCTCATCCCAAGCCCCTTACTCATCAAGTTTGATAGTTTGACTGAAGATTATTAATGATGTATCTGACTCCATTATTTACAGGAATCCATATATTCCTACATACTGAAAGGCCTGATCAGCCTCTCTACTGCTTTTCTTCTTGGACTCATCGTGATGTACCATGCAAGGGAAATCCAGGTATGTGGATAAAGTAACTCTTGTGTACTGCTGGTTCTTGGTTATCTGGTTAACCTAATTTTATTTTTTCTTCTTTTTACAGCTCTTCATGGTAGACAATGGAGCTGACGATTGGAGAATAGCTATGACCATTGAGCGGGTTCTGTTTGTTGTGTTGGAGCTCCTTGTCTGTGCTATCCATCCAATCCCAGGCCAATATGTGTTCACCTGGACCACCAGGCTGGCCTTCAGCTACACAGCATCGGTAGCGGATGCTGATGTTGACATCATCCTCTCTGTTCCCATGTTCCTGCGCCTCTACTTGATTGGCCGGGTCATGTTACTTCACAGCAAGCTGTTCACGGACGCTTCCTCCCGCAGCATTGGGGCGCTTAACAAGATCAGCTTTGACACTCGTTTTGTCATGAAGACTCTGATGACCATCTGCCCTGGAACAGTCCTGCTGGTCTTCAGTGTGACCTGTTGGATCATTGCAGCGTGGACCGTGCGTGTCTGTGAGAGGTATTAGCTTCTGAACTTCTCACTCTTCCTTTTAGTGAGTTCTTAATATCACAGATCTATGTAAATTCCATTATTTAAAAGTGGGTTGTGATAAAAAATAAAGCTTACATCAAGCTTATTGCAACTGAACAAAGCTTTTTTGATATATTTACACCAATTGCTGATACAGCCAGTTGTCATGTTTACACAGGTATCACGATGCACAGGAAGTGACCAGTACTTTTCTTGGAGCCATGTGGTTGATATCCATTACCTTCCTATCTATTGGCTATGGCGACATGGTCCCTCACACATACTGTGGGAAAGGCGTTTGCTTACTGACAGGAATCATGGTAAGTTTTCCAAAGACAAGTAACCAGACATGTAGTTGAAGGTAATATCAAACTCAGCGTACCCCTACAGTATAATACAGTATTTCAACACCTTTTTTTTTCTTTTTAGATTTACTTTTGGGCTTTTTATGCCTTTATTGGCAAGATAGGACAGTGGATAGAGCCGAATATCAGGGAGAGAAAGAAAGGAGAATGACATGCAGGAAAGAGCCAGAGGTTGGATCCAACAAGGGCTGCCCGCTTGGGGGACCACAACCTCATATATCAACACTTTTTGGCCTTAAATTCACAGTTAAGCTCATAACATATGACACATATACTGTATGTCCTACAATATATACCTCTCCTACATACACAATTATTGTACAGTTGGATGGTAATTGCTTAAGATGTTTCTGACTGAAGCCTGAAAATTGCTACTTTTGCAAAATCATATTGTATTACTTTAAACATGTAAGTAACGGTTAAGGCTACTTTAAAAAATCCTGCATTAGAAAGATAATAGTATTTTTCCTCACCACGGTACGCCAATGTGTAACTAACCACTGCCCTCCTCGACAGGGAGCAGGCTGTACAGCCTTAGTGGTCGCTGTTGTTGCAAGAAAGTCAGAACTCACCAGAGCCGAGAAGCACGTCCATAACTTCATGATGGATACTCAGCTCTACAAAAAGGTCTTATAACAATCAGACATGCACATATTTTTCTTTTTGATAATGAATGTGAATTTCCAGTCTTACGTAAACAGAGCATGTAATACAATACAAACGTTACTGACTGTAAATACATTTTGAAACACTGCTACTCTGCTGTATCGTATGCATATTATTCTGTTCTAATATTCTGTCACAGATAAAAAACACAGCAGCCAATGTGCTAAGGGAGACGTGGCTCATCTACAAAAACACAAAGCTGGTCAAAAAGATCGACCATGCCAGAGTGCGCCACCATCAACGCAAATTTCTGCAAGCCATTCACCAGTGGGTATAAAAAAATATCATCAGGGGAGCATTAAGGATAGATAATGAGAAAATATATTTATATTCCACTCGAAGAGTTTTTCAATAACAAAGATGGGTTGGCTTTGATAGCATGTTTAATTAGCATGCTAGTTTTTATCAGTAAAAACTGAGCTTTGTATTTATTTCACATGCCACAAAAGTGACACCCTTTTCAATTTTAGACTGCGAACAGTCAAAATGGAGCAACGGAAGCTGACTGATCAGGCCAATACAGTCGGTGACATTGCTAAGGTTTGTATGAGCAGTATCTTTCACTCTTTTAAAAAAACTGGCAAAGTTAAAAAAAAAAGAAAGCCTTCCCAATCCAACATGACATTCCCTCATTGTTACTTCCCTTCCACATGATGCTTGTGGACAGTTTGGCAAACGAACAATTGTGATAATTTAGCTACAAAGGGAAGAATAGTGTTTATGTGCTCCCACATTTTTCACACTGAGTTTGAAATATAATCATCGGTCAATGAATAACAAGCAATTTCATACAGAAACATCAATTTGATTCAGAATTTATTAATGCCTACATTCAAAAAAATATTTGTTAAATATAATGTATCATTAGTCAAATGTGTAGTGATTACCCTAACAAAATATTATAACTATAGATACCTGGCCTGACCTCCTTGCTGTTTTTTTTTTGCAGACTCAGAACATGATGTATGATCTTGTGGTAGATCTGCAGCACAGAAGCGAGGAGCTTGACAGGAGGATTGTAGTTCTTGAAGACAAAGTAGACTCCATCCTTCTCAGTGTGCAGTCGCTGCCCGCCGTGCTCTCTCAAGCAATAACAAAGCTACAAAAGGATTTCCTGGACGACCTGGCCTGTCGTGTCCACTTCCTATCTTCCTCCCTGAGCTCTGAGTGCTGCCCGGTCCCTGCCAGGCAGCTCTGTCCTGGACCCACCACACCAGAGACACCATACAGCTCCTAACCACACTCAGAGCTTTTCTCTTAGTTTTTTTTTTTTTTCATGCTGGGAAGGATTGTATTAACTCTGTTACATTTCATCACTGTTCAGTTAAACATATTCCCTCCTGAGAATAATCGCTCACACTGAGCAGCTCTAATGACACACAAAGTAAGGCGATAAAGGGGAGAACCTTATGCATTATTTTTCTCTGCTTTAAGTTTCACTGTACGTTCAGGGAGAAACAAATGACCAAACATTGGTCCATAAAGATTCCTCTGGACCTCCAGGAGATACATACTGTATCTAGGCAGATGAGTTGTAAACTATGTATGATGGATTCAAATAAATGTTGTTTTTTTATTTCTTACCTTTACCTGTTTAGGCAGGAAATATTAGTTAAATAAAGTTGTTGTTATTTAAGTTGTATACCTAAAAATGTTGGGCCAAATGCAATAGAAATATATTTTTATTCATATTTAAATCTCATTTGTGTATCACTCGCCTTTGCCTATTCAACATTAATATTTGTGTCTCTGTGTTTGAAGCTGTTAAGATATAGAGACATACATTAGGTCTCTCAGAGGTGATTAATTCTTTGCAAACATTTTTACAGCTAATGGTGACAGCTTGCGCTTGAGCATGTTTTCTGCGTATAGTTAACTTTTTAACTGCTTCCAAGGTTTTCTGTCATGTTTTAAGACTCTGTGCTCTCGATGCTGGCTGGTGATGGTCTCAGGGCTGATGAGCTCACAACTCTTTTTAATTCCATTTGTAGGCTACTGATATCCTGGACTCAGTTGCCCCATTAAGGACTAAACACTCTTAAACCCCTGTATGATCCCTGGCTGAATGACAACACACGCACTCCTTAGGCGCGTGTGTAGATGAGCGGAGAGAAGATGAAAAAGACATACAAACTTTAAGTGCGTTTTACAATACTACGGGACTGTCTGTTTTAGTTATCAGAAAGCACATAAACATGCTAAGTCAATGTCTAACCTTATCTCTATGAACAGTCACTGGCCTCTGGTCCTTTAATGGTTCCATGTGACTCACCTTGCATTGTGCCATCAGCCTAACTCTGTAATGACTTTCAAAAAATAATGTATCAACAAAATATCTGCTCTTGGGTCTTTACTCTCATCTTGTGCTGTGGACCCTTCTATTCTTCTAAATGCCCTGCTGTCTTTTAGCATTTTGACCCTATCTCTCTCTCTTTGTTGTCTGATATAAGGCATCATATGTGGCCCACTAACAGCCTTCTCGACTGTATCCCCTCTCAGCAGAAAAATGTCGGACCAAGTTCAGTCTCCGATTAGAAAACATAATTTTGACCCCTCCATCCTGTCAAATTTTAGGCCAATTTATAAGCTGCCCTTCTTTATCGAAAGTCATAGAGAAAGTGGTTCTCTCACAACTACAGGAGTACTTAGAGTATCATGAGATCCGTGCAAAGTTCATGCCACAGCTCTGAAACACCTCTGCTAAGAGTTTGCCATGACCTTCTCCTCTTTCAGTTGATTCTTGGGACTCTGCTGTTTTCGTGATGTTAGACCTCACTTCTGCCTTTGATATGGCGGATCATGGGATCCTTTGATCACACTTTGAGCATTGTGTAGGTTGTGGGGTCCTGCAGGGCTTCATTTTGGGCCCTGTTCTCTTTTTGATGTATTTGTTGCCCTTGGGATCAATTGTTAAAAACACAATACCATTATTCTTTTCTGATGGTCGTCACTGGTGTTCTTGAACGATTTATTTATTCATGTCTTCATGAAACACAATATCCCATTTACTTCTTTGGTGATGACATCCAAATCTATCTTCCTTTTAAAACTAAATGTAAGGATTCAATGCAAAATGCAGCAATTGCTGAACTGTCTGAAGGATGATAAAATTAGATGGAGTTGAATTTTCTAAATCGAATGAAAATAAGATAGAGATTGTTATATCTGGACACCCACAGCTTTTTGATGACTTTTTTTTTTACTCCAGTTAGACCACTTAATTCAACAAATTAACTGCTCTTGGAAGTCCTGAGATCAAAACATAAAAACAGGGGATTAAGCGTTTGCGGTGACAGCCCTTAATTTTGGAACAATCTTCCTATCCACATGAGATCTCAGTCAATTGCCATTTTTAAGTCAGTGATGAAGATGCATCTCTTCTCACTGGCCTCCCCTTATTTGTTTATTATTTATTTCTATTGTAAAGCTTGTCTGTTATAATTATTCTGTTTATGGTTTTAAATCTTTGCTATTGTTTAATTCTCTTATTTGTTTTATTATCATGTCTCATTATATGCAGTATCTTTGTCTATGACCGCTTTTGGTCTTTTATTGGGATTTTATTTCAATTGTATAGTTTCTCTTGGTTGTACATTAGGCCTACTTTGGTCAATGTGAGTTGTTTCAAATGTGCTTTATAAATGAATGTGACTTGACTTTTAATTCAAAATATTTGATTTCTTTCTTGCACAAAATTATTGTAAACTATAGCCTATAACATGGGTGTAGGAAACTCTTTTGTTGTTTAGTTTGTTGTTTAAAAAGCTGTGTTCAGGATTACAGACAGCTGGATTGAGGAACAGTGCTACACCAGGAGTATAGTAATGTGGGCTACTGGTTGCCTATGCCTTAACATGTTTTATTATTATAATTATCTCCCATGCCCCCAAATTGGCTACATATCATCCACTTCTCATTTAAACTTAGTTTCTTTCATTCACCTTCAGCTCCCGCCTTAAAGGAGAGGTAGCCTAATTACACATCATTAATTCAAGAGTTTTTGTAACTCTCTGGGGTTCCACAAATAAGTTCCACATATAAGGACGAAACATTTGAAGAAGGGAGATCACTCAGAAACAAATGAAGACTCAGTCATACTTCAGAGATGAAAACGAGCTCTATCAGTGAGGTTGTTTACAAGAACCACCATCTGTCTCTCTGGGTTACCGCTGTTTACTGGGTTCCACGTAATCTCGCGATAAACACCAGAAGGCGAGCTGCACCCACGAGAATGTCGTTTCGCGCGCTGAGGCTAAGCTCCAGTCACATTTGGGAGTGACAGCTCTTCAGCCCAATGAGCGCGTTTTGCTGCAAGGAAACTAGCCAATGGCGTCGCTTGATTTTTTTAGGGGCAGGCGTGGTATCTAAGTCTTGAAGAATAACTCATTGATCAATCTCCAACAAGGCATAGAGTTGGTCGTGCAAACCTTGCATAGAAGTTATTTGGGGGAAAACGTGCACGTTAATTCTAACACGTTTAATTCTTGTTTTCACTTTGACGAACAATCAGGTAAAGCGAGATTTCCTTTTGTTATTGTAACTTTCAGAAGTGTACTCATTGATTTCTTCATTCTGTCGCTAGCTTACTAAGGTTAGCTAACTTGACAAAAGTCCTGCCTCGTTTCTGTTTTGCTTGACGTGCTACATTAAGCTCCACTGCCAGCCAACGAAACAAGGTTCAAAAAGTAGTTAATGATGACTTCATATAATTATTTTTAACTGTGGTTTAATGTAGTTTTATCTGCTATTGGCAATATACCACCAGTAAGCTGTACAAACAATAAGTAACGTGGTTTGCTGTGTGGCTTAGCATTGGAGAGTGGGAGATGTTATCTAGTGTTGTTTATCTGTAACACAATAATGTGTAGCAAAATAGTGCATTTCCTGCTCTCTTGTACAGTTTAGTGCCTCTTGTGAAGCAAAACAAATAACGCTAACCTTTTAAAAGGATTTGATTTTTCCCCTCGATGTACCTAAAGGTGAATAAGGTGATGTTAAACTGCTGCATGTTGAGTAGGTGTCTGATGTTACATTTCATGTCTGAGAAAGTAGGTTGTTTCCGATGTTTTCACTTGTGTTTTTAATCGCTGGTGTTTTATTTCTAAACCCCCCCCCCCAAAAAAAAAAAAAAAAAACTACGAGCCGTCCAGCTCGCTTCTCAAAATCTAATATCAAGTCACGTCTCTGTCATCTAGGCCTTTTTTTTCGTCTTGTATTATTCAATTTTAAACCTTAAAAAAAAAAAAATAAGCTGGTATTTCGGTGTGTTTCATTGTCACAGAGCGCAGGCACATTGTTTGCCAGCGCTCCCTTCCGTCCGGATGTGCCTGCTTTTAAAAGAACGGGGAGGGGCTTACAGCTCAGTTTCCCGCACTGTATTTAAATCAGCTTGTTCCCTCCCTTTCTAAATATTTTGTCCAAGTGACAGCCCACTGCTCACAACAATACACGCTCCTAAAAAGACTGGCAAAACCCACATCTCTGCATCTAAGGAGCATTAATTTAGTTCCTCGAGTGACGTTAATAGTTTATGCTGTAGAGAAAAGCAGCATTAACTCTAAAATAGTGTTTTTGGCAGACACTGAAGGCTTTCACAATGTAATACAGTAAGCCTTTTTGAGAGGCTAAAATGATTGCATTGCTTAAATTTGAGCACTAAAGAGAAGGGAAATAATTTAGAAAGCTTATTTAAACTTGGGCTTAGTAGTAAGAGTTGCAGGTATGAATCTTGATGACAGATAATGGAGCATTTTTCTGACCACATTTAATAAAATAAAGTGTAAATCAGCATAGCTCTTGAATTAGTAGTTCTGTAATTAGAGTAGACAAGGCCACTTGTTTACTAGAAGCAAACTAACTTTTGTTTTAACAGACAAAAACACAGTTGTTTGTATTTAAATGCTATTTATTAGTATTACTTTATGCGAGTCGATACAAAAATATACTAATGAAAAGATCATGTTGTTGATGAACACAATTTCCTTGCATCAAAAACCTGAAGTTGAAGTTATCAAAGATGCATATAATTAAAAGATCTAATGTGTAAGAGAAGTTACAATTGCAAAAGCTTGTGCTTAAATGGGTTATCGTGATGCTGGTTGTCACAGGGCCTCTGCAATGTGGATTCAAGTGCGCACAATGGATGGGAAGGAAACCCACCGGGTGGATTCTCTTTCCAAACTCACTAAGGTGGATGAGCTGCGTGTTAAAATCTTTGAGCTCTTCAAAGTAGAGCCAGAAAGGCAGAGGCTGTTTTACCGTGGCAAGCAGGTGAGGCAGCTTTCTTTATAATCTTGTCACTTTTTGTTCATGGTGTAAAAACAACCAGCCATAAAAGTCTGCATTTCTTTATCTAACCATGTCATTTATTCTTGTATATCAGATGGAGGATGGCCATACCATATTTGACTACAACGTGGGTCTGAATGACATAGTGCAGCTGCTTGTTAGACAGAAAATGGCCCCTGTTGATGTTGTCAAAAGCAAGGATAAAGAAGCTGAGCTCTCTGACTCTGATTCTGGTTGTGGCTCAACCCAGAGTGAGTCTGACAAAAATTCAACTCATGGGGAGGTAGAGGCTCAGACAGCCGGCACCTCTGCCCAGACAAACGCCACAGAGCTCATTGATCCAGGCTTTGGATTTTATAAGGTATGATGAACATTTTTCTTGTGGTACTCATTTCTGTGATATATACATTGGTAACAATTTACTTTTGCATTATGGAAAGGAGAAAAACTTTTCCTTTTTAGGATGCAGACACAGCAGCCTGCCAATATGCTTTACTACCAAGAACACAAAGATATGGAAATAAGTGCAATATAGGCTGTTTCAATTTAAACAATCTAAACACCCTACTTTCATTGGGTTCGGGCCTCTAAAGCCCACCAAACGGTTCAGTTTGGTTCAGTACAGCTCGGTACGGTAAACCCTGAAGTTCCTTGTGTTTCAACAGCCAACCGTACCCTTGTATGACTATCCAGACTGAAATATCCATGTCAGCTATGTCAAGCCCCGTTACCACCGAGCTGTCCGGTATGGATCAGTACAGTTTGGTTCGGTAAAGCCTGATCCTGTTTGCGATTCCACAGCCAACCGTAGTTACCGTACCCCCTTTTTTTTTTGGTAGGCGGCGTGTAAGAGCAACAATGGAGGACATCCAGCAATTCGTGTTCTTTCTCATTGGCTTGTGGTTCTTTCTCACAAAACGCAATGATTTGTTTCAGATGAGGCTGTTTGCCGCGAGGAAAAATACAGCCTTCCTTTATTACCGCTGTCGCACAGGAAGTGACGAGTCTTTCAACCAATCAATGGACTGCAGTGTTTAGCTCCAGCTTTTAGTGTCGGATCGGTAGACTCGGCAGCCCAACACAGTGTAGCCCACTATTAAGTTAAACAGTTTACAGTAAACAAGGGGACCCTTTAGGGTTGGAGCGGCACCCCAACAGAAGGATATTTAAAAAAAAAAAAAAAAAGGATGGTACGGATCCCTTATTTTGGTACCATCCCCAATTTTTGACGTTGTGGACCCCAATAAATGGGTACTGTACAGAACCGAACTGAACACACACACGGCAGGAGGAGGAAAGGTGGAGAGAGAACAGCAGGCGTAGCTTATAAAAGTAAACAGTCAACCACATGCTCAGCCGTTAACAGTCTGTATATATGGTCAAAACATTAAGGAGCACCAGAACGAGTTGCTCTGCTGTGCAGAGCGGTAATAAACTAATTTCCAAACTGTGATTGCCGCTGTGGTATGTGATGGCAGCATCACATGTAGCCTATTCATACAAGCAGGGGACACTGACTCTGCATGCACAGTGTTTAGTTTTCTGACTCCTGATGGTGATATCAGACAAACTTTTATTGTGGATTAGTCACAGAATAATAAAACTAGCGCTTTTAGATCAAATGATACCAAAGTGGCGGCCTTACGTGCTTCAGGTCACTTCACAGGTCAGACATCACATGGGATGCAACTATGTGCAGTACACATTGTAATTGGGATGTTTAAACTATATATTGTTTAGCCCATAAATATAAATATTGTTAGATCATAAAAATAAACTTTATTGATCCCCCATGGGGGACATTTTTGTCTCATGCCTCATGTCCCTTTACAGTTCAGCATCATTTACCAACTGCAAACTTGTCTTGAGTGGTCCTGTCTTTGCACCCGTAATGCCGCCTCCATATATGTAGAAGTGTGTCCAGCTCATTTTGCTGGGCTGCTAGTAGCTTTCTCTGCATTTCAATGTGGCAGTTTTTTCTTGTTGTAATTTCAAATATCAAACATGTTTTCCAAAAAATTGTCAAATAAAACTGAAATTAGATTTTCTGCTGAGATGCTGTGCTATTAACTAATCACCTTATTACATTTTAAAACTTGCACCTTTTTAAAATTCATTTTATTCTTTCCTCGTGTGTTTCAAAAGGTCAATGAGATGGTGGACGCCAGAGACCTGAACATGGGGGCATGGTTTGAGGCCCAGATTGTAAATGTGACTAAGACCACAAAGATGCCCAAAGAGGAGGCCACGGCGCCAGACGAAGAGGAGATACTGTACCATGTTAAATATGAGGAGTAAGACTCATTTTTCTGTTATGTTCAATTATTTACTATCAAAACATTGTGTTGTGTATACAATAAAAGGGGCTTTAAATGTTAACTCATTAACACATGATTAATCTAGAGACCATCATTATTATTTTTAACCAAAATTAATGTCTTTCCTGCCTCTAATGCAAACTAACACGGAGCCCTTTACGCCCTATGAAAACTTTTTATAATAGATTATTGTAAATCTGAATGGGACTTCCTGAAAAAATGAATAAAAAAAAACAAAATTTGGAAGTGTTATAGACAAGGCAGTAGGAATGCCATTAATATCCTCATTTGCAGGCAAAGTGACAATGAACTGATACGTTTTCTTGTGTAATCCTATAGTCATGATTCTTTAATCTTACGGTATTGAGCATTGCATGTTTGTGATGAAGGGAAATTTGTTCCATTGTCTGGTGAGGATCCACTTCTACTTACCAAACATACTTTAGTACACTTGTCAACACACTCAGACAGACACTCAGGCGCTGTGTAGGAAACACCTGTGTTGGTGTGTAGCTTTCTTTTGAGGTTATCACTTTCACTATCACAGTTACCCAGAGAACGGGGAGATTCAGCTGCTGAAGAAGGATGTTCGACCGCGGGCCCGTACAGTGTACCAGTGGCACCAGTTGGAAAAGGGGATGGTCGTTATGGTGAACTACAACCCAGACGACCCCAAGGAGCGTGGCTACTGGTATGATGCAGAGATCCAGAGGAAAAGGGAGACGCGCACCCTGCGAGAGATCTATGCCAAGATCATTCTCGGGTAAGAGCTTTTTTTTGCATGTAAATTACTGCATTTGTTAATACCTCGCATAGTAGGAGCAACTGCCAAGTCAAACCTCTAAAGTGAACCTGCCGCAGTGGCCCCATTTCTGTCTGCACATCATAGTTTTAGGTTGTCTTGAAGCCGCAGCAGGTAGGAAGCGGTAGATTTCCTGCTGTTGTAGCATTGTAGTTTCTAGAATAGAGCGATTTGTACTTGAAACTTTTTAAGCAGGGTAAAAGGCTTATCCGTTTAGATGATTTGAAGAAAACATTGTAATGCTTTAATACATGTAATGTAAACTGCAGTGTTTCTTTGGTGCACTTTTCTATTAACCCTGCGTATATCGCAAGGAGGAGGGTTCACTGCTGTATTTCTACTTTACAAAATGTTTTCATTTAAGCCTTAAAAGTCATTAAGGTTTCCCTCATTTACAATGATATCAATATACAGGATGATGAACAGATGAAATATGGACTAATTGGTTCTTTGTTTTCAGTGATGCTGGTGACTCTCTGAATGACTGCCGGATCATGTTCTTGACTGAAATCTACAAAATCGAGGTGCCTGGTTCTCTAGCTGACACCCCTGCTGGATCTGAGAGTCCACTAAAAAGTATGTTTATGGATGAAATGTTTGAACTGTACAGTTGGGAGTTATTTGCCATTTACATTGCAAAACAAAAAACCGAGTTGACAGTTCAAACAACAGGATTCTGATTTTTAATCTTATTGAAGTGTAGATTTCAATGAAATTGAACTTGCATGCACCTCTTCCTTGACGTATACAGTATGTAGTTCTTCTCCATTTTACCAGATGTATCTTCCTTTTTTTTTTTAAGATCAAATGGACCTGAGTGCAAGCACTGTAAGGATGATCCCCAAAAAAAGTGTCAGTGGTGTAACTGCCATATCTGTGGCATTAAGCAGGATCCTGACAAACAACTGCTTTGTGATGAATGCGACATGGCCTATCACATCTACTGTCTGAACCCTCCACTCACCTCCATCCCAGATGATGAGGACTGGTCAGTACAATCACACGTGGTTCTCTCTTGTTTTGGAATATAAAGTTAAGACTTGGAAAGTAAAAAGTTGAAAATAAACATTGCCATTTTCAAGATAACTGTGACCTAAACCTTGCACGTATTTCTGTGCCAGGTATTGCCCAGGTTGTCGTAATGATGCTAGTGAAGTTGTGTTGGCTGGAGAGAAGCTGAAGGAGAGCAAGAAGAAATCCAAGATGGCTTCAGCGAGCTCCTCCAGCCAGAGGGACTGGGGCAAGGTGAGTGCTGACATTGTGCTTGACAGCAAAGGGTCTTAATTAGAGAAGCAGAAATACTTCTCATTTTATGTTATGAATTTAAAAAGACACTTCTAGTCATTGGGCTCCATTACACCTAGATGGCTTCAGCGAGCTCCTCCAGCCAGAGGGACTGGGGCAAGGTGAGTGCTGACATTGTGCTTGACAGCAAAGGGTCTTAATTAGAGAAGCAGAAATACTTCTCATTTTATGTTATGAATTTAAAAAGACACTTCTAGTCATTGGGCTCCATTACACCTCAAAAAACAATTCAGATGATTGCAATGAAAAATACTGAACATATTTCATCAAGATGATCTTTTCAATGGCAATGTTATATATTGGCACTGGTTACAGAAAGTGATATTTGTTGTCAGAAATACTCTTACAGCCTATATGTTCATTGTCCTTTCAGGCAGCTTTCTATGATTGTGATTACGTTAGATGCCAAGGTTTTCAAATGTAAACATTTTAAACTCCTCCAGGGAATGGCCTGTGTTGGTAGAACCAAGCAGTGCACCATCGTCCCATCCAACCACTACGGCCCGATCCCTGGCATCCCTGTTGGCTCCCTGTGGAAGTTCAGAGTGCAGGTCAGTTTACTCAACTGGAGAGAGGATTAAAGAAAAAGTTGCACCATGTGAATTAAACTAATGTTTTCCATTTTCCAGCAGTAACACTGTTCTGTGGCTTTTCTAGGTTAGTGAGTCTGGCGTCCACAGGCCACATGTTGCTGGGATTCATGGCAGGAGCAATGATGGGGCCTTTTCATTGGTCCTGGCTGGAGGCTATGAGGATGATGTGGTATGCTTATCTGTTTTTTTTAATCTTTCATCTGAGAGATAACTGTTATTGTGCTTATGTCAATTGTATTTAAATAACTTAACAAATCGCTCAATGGAGCTCAGTACTGCAAGACAACATGCAGCTTTAGACTGTTGATTGTCTACATTTTTTGGGAGGAGTTGCACAATATTACAACGAACTGTTATACAAAAAAAAAACAAGTTAGAATAATTTTGTAGTTTCTCTTTAGTATTTATGGTATAAAACCAATGTTTCTGTCCATGAAGCTAAGTTTAAAATCTGCTTCCAAATTGTCTTTGTACTTTAAAATGTGTGTAATTATTGTTATGTGATTTACAATGTAGGATGATGGCAACGAGTTCACTTACACTGGCTCTGGAGGGCGAGATCTTTCTGGCAACAAGAGGACTGCTGAGCAGTCTTGTGACCAGACACTTACCCACATGAATCGGTATGTTGGCGAAGGGCACGGCATTACAACTGACTATAAATCAACAAGATTGACTTTAATTTGCGTATTTAAATCGTTTGTTTATTTGCACCAGGGCGCTGGCTCTCAACTGCAACGTCAATGTCAACGACAAAAATGGAGCGGAGGCCAAGAACTGGAAGGAAGGCAAACCTGTTAGAGTTGTACGCAGCTGCAAGGGTCGCAAGCACAGCAAATACTCACCTGAGGAAGGAAACCGATATGATGGCATATATAAGGTAAAAGGGAACATCACATGGATTTGTTTATGTTTAAAAAAAACCAAAAAAAAACACACATATTTACCACGCATTGTTACAACACATGCGCGTATGATTATTTATTCAGCCATTATACATATACAATAATATTTAAACAATACAGACAGTTCAAACATAATCAACAGTCATGTATTATGTAGTGACTGAAAAGGAATAGGCAGAAGCAAAAAGCTTATAAATGCCTATCCTACATTCTTATCAAATTAAGCTACCAGCTCTCAGAATAGTATGAATTTATTCATTCGGCCTTGACAAGAATATATTAGTCTCACCAGCACAGTATAACCAAATGGAAAAGTCCTTTAGTTTTCAAAACTCATATTTAATTAATTGTCCTGTAACTTTGTAGTTCTTCATCTATATGCGTTTTTGACTTCACTCAGGTGGTGAAGTACTGGCCAGCCAAGGGAAAGTCTGGCTTCCTGGTCTGGAGGTATCTGCTGAAGCGTGATGATGATGAGCCGGCACCGTGGACCAGAGACGGCAAAGACCGCATCAAAAAGTTCGGCCTCACAATGCAGGTAGAGACTGCCATTCAGACTCGATTGAAAAGAACGACAGGTTTTGTTTAAGCACCAAATTCCATCGCTTTATTCATAACAACATTGAATGGTAACAATGGGTCCTCATGTTGCCCTGACATTGTATACTCTCATATTTAACATAATGTCACGGTGCTTATTGTCAATCTACAAGAATGTGAAAATTTCATCATTATCAATTTTGACACTTTTAATTTAGTGTAAAAGTCATCTAGTTTTGAAATGAATATCTATGCTTAAACACATGGCATATTTAGAAAAAAACAAAAAGTTATCTGTGGATTGAGCTTATTCAGACTTCAATATGTTCTCTCTTGTTCCAGTATCCTGCTGGTTATCAAAAAGAGAAGGAGAACAAAAATGAAGTAGAGGAAGAGGAGAATACAGCGGCTGCAGCAGCAACACCCAGCAAGGCAAAGAGGAAGAGAAAATCTCAGGGTAGTGGTAAGTTCTTTAAATGTATGTGGTTGTTGAGATGTTCATTTTACTTGATATTTATTGGCAGTTCCCTTTTACAAGGCTGCTACAAATCACACTAGAGCTACGCATTGGGGCATATTCTTGTTGACAATGTCCCCAAGGCCGTTAAGACAGTCATACTGCTTTAGGCGTGAGCAGATTTTCCAAGAGAAAGTAGACGCATATTTCAGTGCTTACTCTGTAGAAACATGGACATAATTCACTACCATTTTATCCCAGAACTCTACTGCTAACTTAAAATTTGATTGTTTCCCAGAATCCTCAAAGAGCCCACCAGCAAAGACTCCTAAGAAAACTAAGGTAGAGGTGTATAAGCTCACCAAGGAGCAGAAAGGCTTCATCAAGAATGACGAGCCAAACAAGAAGCTGTGGGACGAAGCCATGGAGTCACTGTCACTTGGACCGGTGAGGATGGCGGTGTATTTGAGACCAGCATTGCTTTGTATGCTTGCGTTTGTCCTGCATGCAGATTGAAGCAACACAGCTTTAAGTCACATTTATATTTTCTGAAGCAATTTAACCCATTCACCATTGACAATGAGGCATTGATTTGAATTGGGGCGTGTTGACGTATTTTATACAAGCAAACACTTTATAAACCATATTTGAATGATTTCTTTATTTCAAACATGTAAAAAACAAACAAACATTTGTTATTTTGAGTGAAAAACTTGAACGTGTCCAACATAGTTTTTGGAAACGAAGAGTAACGTTGGAATATATGGATGGTACAAGCTATAACTCTACACTACAGTGTGAACTGATTGTCCCTGGCAAAACGCCTGCTTTTGTGTGATCAGGTAATCTTTCTCACTTTCTGAAAACACTAAAAGACTGAAGAATGACAGTAGAAGTTAAAAGTTCTAAGCTTTTAACCTCCTGCCCCAGACCTGTAACAGTGGAACAGTTTAAAATGTCTTTTCTCACTCGTTAATGCTTTGGTTCTGCAGAAATTCTTAAACAAAGTGGAAGAAATGTTCCTCTGCATTTGCTGCCAAGAAGTGGTCTTTCAGCCCATCACCACAGAGTGCCAACACAATGTCTGCAGGGTAAGAGACAAGCTTCACAATCACTGCTTTGAATCCATAAAAAATGAATGTTAAACAATAGTGGAGACTGTGAGATCTAAAAGCTGATATTTATGTTTTCCTCCTAGGAATGCCTTCAGCGGTCCTTCAAAGCAGATGTGTACACCTGCCCGGCCTGCAGGTACGACCTGGGCAAAAACTACTCCATGGCCGTCAACAAACCCCTGCAAGACATTCTTAATCAGTTTTTCCCAGGCTACAGCAATGGACGATGATCATTGGTTGTGCCTACTCAGCCCTTGAGGAAATGCGATTTAAAAACTGTAAGGGGAATTTTTCAGTAGAGGCAATAAAGAATCAGTTTCTCTTAATATATTTTTAATGATTATAAAACAAGAATTTTTGAGGACTTCAATGTTACCATTTTCACCTCGGATCTGTCATGCGCTGGTAATGATAAATTGAAATTTCCTTTTGTAACTTTACAATAACCCAATTAATACCCAGAACCAAGATTTTACTCCCAGCTTTATGTTCTGTTCCATTAACTAACGCTAATGTTATTCATGAAGTAAAATGTTTCCTACTTTTAACTAACTCCTCCAGTGTTTAGCACTATTTAAGAGAACTTTACTTCAAGAGTCACTTGGGTGGTTGGCCAAATGTGTTACTTTTGGAAGTGGCTTTTAGAACCTGGGTCTCATGTGGTCTACCGTTAGTCAGGCTGCTGTTGGTCGTCATTTTGAAAGAATTATTAGAAATTTGGTCTAAACTCAAACCTGACCTGGAAGGCTCTGTCGCCTTTAGAGATGTAATTTTCTGTAGTCTTTCTTTTAAACATGTCTGTATTTTGGTGTTTGCAAACACAATGAAGCTTGGTTTCTAAGTAAGAAATTGATGACAAACTAGAGCGAAATGGATCAATCTTCTTGACTGTGGCACCTTGTGCTGGCATGATCATATGATTGATGTGGCATTAACATAAGCAGTGATCTAGGCCCCTCAAGGAGGACTTCTGAAGTCAAAACTGTTCCATATAATGTAGAGTAAAACTAACATACTGGCCTAAACTGAACCAGTTCCAATGTCTTTTTTTATTTGGCCACTTAAACAATCTGACAGGAAGTGTCTTATTGTGGAGAAATGTCATTTTTAGCATGGTTTATTTTTTCTATGTTTATTTGTTCCTTAAAATTTTCTATATTTGTATGTGATGTTTGTGAAAGTTGGATACAAGTTACTATGATTTTGATAAAACTTTAATGCTTAACATGATTTTCTAAACAAAATAGATTTGATTACTCTTTTTTTTTTTTTTTTTAAAAAGCTTCCCTTTATAAGTCCAAAGAAACACAAGTGCTCAACCAAGAATATATAATGTAGAACTCCCATGTATCTAGATCTTTAGACTTTGTCCCTGACTCTCCAACTTAATTGAGTCTAGAAAATCTATTTGTATTTTTTCTAAAACTAAAATTTGTACTTTTTACATTTTTATAATCCGTTACCGCCATCTGTGCCGGCACTTGTTATACCTGACTTTCCAAAAACAGGAAATGCTTGCATCAAGTTTAAAACTTGAAGGAAATTCCACACATGCTCCTGAAATTTGATATAGAATAAACATAATTATTTGAATCTGTTATGTATTGCTTTTGCCGTTCCTCTTGTCTTTGAATACTTGTTTTGTAATTTCAAAGGCAATGTGTGACAATGCCTATTCCCATGCCAGCGGGTCAAGTTTTTGAGATGGAAGACTTGCATAGACTGGTAAATGTATATTTTCATAAATTGTATAATTTTTAGTCCGTTTAGTTTTGATATGTAGTTTTAGAATTGCTTTGCACACGTTGAGTGCAAATATGTGTCAATACATTTTCTGTGTCATTCAATAAAAAAAGGTAAAAACAAGATCTTTTGTCTTATTAGGTGGAACTGTGTGGATGTATTTAACTTGGGAGGAGTTTTAATTCTCCAGAGGTCTTCAAGCTTTTAGACACTGCCCCTTAACTTGTTTGTGAATGGGGTCTTGTTTGTATGACAAGGTCAACCTTTTATTCACATTTAAAGGGAGAAAGTAACCAAGATCCATATAGAGAACTTGGAATAATATAATTTTGTCCTGGTACAATGGCGAAATCTTTCAGGGGTTATGCAAATATATATTTTTACTTGGAAGTTATTTAATCTTCCCATGATTAAAGAGTACATATAACAACATTTACTTAGCCGGCAGTGCCTACGTGCTTGGTTTGCACGTCGGCTGAGGACGAGCACTGACTACGAGTGGTATTGCTCGTTTCAATGGCAGCTTGTTATGTCGATAGCCGGATAAACCAATCACATCGTTGGGTATCTCCCCACGAATTCCTTCATCCGGGTTCTCCAACCAATCGCATTGCCCAGTTTCTGAAGGGGGCGTGACTCCGATTATCCCCAGCAAGCTAAATGCTATAGACGAAAATCGACCAAGGCAGTTTTTTTTTCAAAGCGAAACCAAATCCATTGAGCAAAAAAAAACAGGGAGAGGAGAATTGCTTGCGGCAGGAGGTAATATTTCCCAAAACGGGATTCATTTTTTAATTCAATGGCGAGAAACGTATTCTCGTGTAATCGCGATGTGTAAGGTTTCTGTCGTCGCGGTGTTTTTGTTTTTTTTTCTCTCCTGAATGCAGATTTGGAAGCAGCCTGCTAGGACCAAAGCTAGCGTTAGCTTAGGTTACCCTTAGCTTCTCGATTGAAGTGTAGTTCTGCTGTAATGTCACGGTTGTTTGGCGTAAAATTAAATAAAAACATTCACGTTTGTCACACACGTCCGGAGGTGTGTGTGTGTGTGTGTATGGGATGCACATTTTGACCGGTTTCTATGCGCTTCAGCAACCGTGTTTGTTGGGATAACATGCTAACAGTGGATGTTGGTTGTGCAGCACCACCGTCACCCTTAGCAGCAGCAGCAGCCTGTTAACCCCCCGAGCAGCTACCTTTTTTTTTTTTTTTTTGCTTTTGTATCCAGGTGTGTGCATGCATTAGCAATAATATGGAACAATGCTGCATGTGAAGGTCAGTGTTTTCTCATTAGGGAGGGACGAGTGTTGCAATTTTGAAGTAAGTCTCAGGGCCCAGACGGAGTTAAAGGGGCTATGTAGGCCCCTTTTTGTTGTGGTTAGACAGCTGGGGTGGGGGGGTCATGTGGCCTTCTATCATCTGAACAGGTCCGCCCCGGTCCAAAAGAGGTTCGTAACTTGTGAAATAATGATAATAATATTCAGGAAGAAGGACTGTGAAGTTAATGACAGCGTCAGTCTATTTGTGAGCAGCCATGCCTCTAAGCCACTTAGCAGGATACTGTTGGATTTCTTTTCCTTTCCTTTTTTTTTTTTTTTTATTATTTACTTCCTTATTGTTATATATTGATTCAGAAACACACACACACACTCTTTGAATCCAGACACTTATACCAGAGTTGGTAGTTTTGAGTTCAGACTATGTTTCCTGCACTGTAGGGTGTTGGTGCTTTATGCAAACGACTGCTTGTTTTGTTTGCTGTTTCAATTAATTTAACGTTGTTGTTGTAGTAGGAAGTCAAAGCACAAATAGGAAACTGCAGTTCGTACAGTGTTGACCTGCTCTGTGGGTGTCAGAAGGAGTGTGTGTAGTTGCATGCATTGCATTAGTGTGCTTTATAGGTATACGCCAAAAACAATAATTTACAACTGTACTTTCCAAATTGTGTAAGTGTTGCAGAGCAAAATGCTATTGGAGATTTTTTTTTTTGTAAACTTCAAGGAAAATAAATTCTTGTCTCCTGTTTGTGTGGAAGGAAAGTGAATATCGTGCTGAATGCTGAAGGTATTGCTGGAGTAAAAAAAGAAAGCGCTTTAAGTTTATGTTTAGTTTAACTACTATTAAGTTCAACTTCCAAAACACTGATGCACACATTGTGTTTGCACTCTGTGGTGATTGGCTGGTAGACCCCTTCTTGGCAGCATGTGCAGAGGAACATTTCTCCAACCTTATTTTGAGAACACCTGCAGCAGCAAATCATTAAAAAGTCACTGTCTGTCACCCTCAGTTACTTTGCTAGGAACACTGTTTTGCAACCCTTAAGGAAAGCCGGACTGCTTCTAATAAGCAACTATCAATGTATCCACTGATTTCATATATATATATATATATATATATATATAAGGAGCATCCCTAATTGTGTAGTCAAAAAGTAAGTGAAAACACCTGTCACAAGTTCCCAGCTCTTAATGTGACATCTTTTACAGACTTGTTGTCTGAGCAGCAGCCCAAAACTGAAAGTTACTCAGTCAGAGGATGTTCAGTTATTTAAACTGATCATCCTCTGGTTGGTGAATCCAGGGTCAGAGGCTGGAAGTCGTTTTAACTGAAAAACAACTGAAGGGATCAGTGTATTGCCAAAAACAAATGGTGATACGTTTATTTCAATCAGCCAATAGATTATTAACTGAATGTTCATGTCCAAAGTTGATTGGCCTTAAGCAGTTTTAACTGTTAAAGGAGCTTTTTAAGTTGCTACTTGATGAACCACAAGACTCGAGAGCTGCTAAAATGTATGAAAAACCCAGTGATACACATTAATACCTAGTCAGAAGTATAAGGACAAGGGGTGAAACGTTCCTGTCAAATGAAGTTAAGTATAGCTTTCCTGATTAATAATAAAAATAATGCTGTTTTGTTTGACTGCCAAACAAAAACAACAACATTAAACCGATTCTGAAAGACTCAAGCAAACCCAGTTACTCAGGACTTAATCGCATAGCCTAACAGTTTGAGCTGTGGTACATTTTAAGATCTGTTGTTGTGGACATTTTAGTTTCTGATTGTCTCCCTGGGATTCTCACACTGTTTTCTGTTAAGAGAGGGCAGCTGGAAGTCTCTGGGGTCACATGTTTTTCTCACTTCATGTCATCTCCTCCTATAACATGACAATGGCAGTTATTAAATTAATGTAAGAGATTATATGTTTACTTGTTGATGTTGCCCTTCATATAATGCGTTACCATAAGGTAAATTAATCATGTACCTCGACTCTTTTTCAGCATAGAAATGTCTTGAATAGAGCAGCAAATACTATTCAGTCAAACAAAAATAATTAAACGTTTTTATTAACAAGCAGCTAGTTAATATATTGATTATTTTTTTTAAGCAAAAATAAAGAAATCAAAAAATGTACAAGTTCCAGGCAAGCACCTTTAACATAAAGGGTCTGATACTTTTCTGTTTTGGTTAGAATAGTAAAAGAAGAGTCTTTATGTAGTGGACTTCTGGCGAATTGTTGCTATACAAATAAAGATGAATTGATGGATTTTAGAGTATTTTTGACAATATTTTTGAAAGTTTAAAGATGTAAAAAAAAAAAAGGTAAATCGGTGGATTGTGAAGAAGTGGCAGCCATAGTCCTGTATGAGACTAGTGTATAAAGCCTGATTCACTCTTCTGGGTTCAAACTTCAAACCCACCATGGCATATGCCTTAGGTTTGCGTAGCCCTGTGCCTGCTTAGGTAGACTGATGTGCACACCCTCATGAATATAACTACCTGTCGAAACGATGCAATCGCATGCCCTGTGATTGAGCTGATGGGTAGAATGAATTGCTTTTCCTGCATTTACAACATTTCTTGTATTGCAGCCATAATTGAAATTATGCAGAAGGAAGAACGCTACGAGCCAGAATAATCAACTGCTGCTCAATATTTATCAGCTCAAACTCCCAACATAATGCGCTTGGTTTCAGTCGCCACAGTTTCCCGTACACAAACAAACAGAGAACGTGTTGAGAATGTGCCGGATATAACAAGCATAGAAATCAGACCGGCAGCTAGCGTTTATAGGCAGAGCGTTACAGAGCTAGCAGACACACCAATGCATGAGTATTTAGTGCTCACAAATGGCCTAGTCCACTTCAGTGTAGCTATGGCGTCATTCAACGCAGAAGTATAAAACAGGGTTAAGATAGCCTGAAGGCATGTTAGTAATGTTGCTGTTAAGCAGTCAAAGCAGAGGTGTCAGATGATGTGGTCAGATTTGGTTGGTCGGGAGCTCATTTGAATTTCCTTCTTGTTGAAATGTGCTATATAATTAAACGTGCCTTGCCTCATTGTAAGCAGGACAATTATAATGGGTGTAGTGACTCTTGATGGACAGGTCGAAACCTCACTGCTTTCTAATTTGCTTAAAAGAGAATTAGAACTCTCAAGTTTTTTTTTTGTTTTTGTTTTGACGTAACGGATTATTTCCCTACATATATCTAAACAGGGAGCTAAAGGTTTTGACTTATGGCGGCTGTGGCTCAGTTGGTAGAGACGTCGCCTCTCAACCAGAAGTTCGAGGGTTCGATCCCCAGCTGAGCAACATGTCCGTTGTGTCCTTGGGCAAGACACTTAACCCTGAATTGCTCCAGCTGCTTCAGTATGAATGGGATTAGTTACTTCTAATGGATGATACTACATAGCGATCACTACCATCAGTGTGTGAATGGGTGGGTGTGACATGTGGTGTAAAAGCGCTTTGAGTAGTCCGAAGACTAGAAAAGCGCTAAATAAGCTTAAGTCCATTTACCATTTTACCATTTACTTGTGGCATGTAAAGAATATGAAGCTGAAAATAATCAGTGCCTTCAAAATGATTGTGTCCCTGGATTTATATTTTGTTTTATAAAACGCCAGGAAGAGTGTAAATGTGGTTTATTTCTATTCTTAAAAAACATCAACATAATAACTAGATTTGAGTTTGCCTTTCCTGTAAAGGTTATTGTATCAGCTGCACATTTTAGAAGGGCACACGTTTGTTTCCAATGTCATATTTAACATTTAGCTGTTCAGAGATTTGGTTTTTAGAAAATGTCCAAAGTAGACTGAATATGCCCTGACTGTTCATTGTCCACCTTCCAGGTTTACCTGCAACCCTTAAAAGACCCGATGGCTACCGACATGCCCATGGACACGGTGCCGGCTCCTCACCCTGCCCCAGCCTCACCCCCTGAAACTACCCCAGCCTCTCCTCCTGCTCTCAGCTCTGATGCTGCCCAAGATCAAATTCCCGCCAAGGAGCCAGCATTAGCCGAAACCCCCGACTCAGCATTGACCTCAGAACACGATGCCGCTCCAGATCATACTCCGGCTCAGCCTGCAGACCCAAACCTGGCCCCCGGCCTTGTTCCAGGCTCTGACCTGCCCCCGACCCCTCTGCCACCACCACTGCCACCAGTCAGCGCCAAGAACCCCAGCTGCAAGATCATGACCTTTAGGCCCACCATGGAGGAGTTCAAAGACTTTGCCAAATACATCGTCTACATGGAGAGTCAAGGAGCTCACCGGGCTGGCCTGGCAAAGGTGAGGACAACATTCACACTCTGAGTATATGCTCTCACACATGAAATACATAAACCTATATGCAGTCCTTACTGTCATGTTATGGTCAGGTTCTAACTGCTAGCTCGGAAGATTATTGAAAAAACTTTCAGACAAAAGTGACACATGTATATTGCAACTAACTAGATCCCAAAGTGGGGTCTTAACATTTCATATTTAGTTTTATTAAAATGACAAAAAGCCCCAAAGGATTGCACATGATAATACTTATATTTAAGGCCGTTGTCAACCATAGAAAAAGTTGGTCGACTGAAATTAAACCCAACAACCAATCGATTGGTAGTTGTAAAAAAATCTGCACGTTGCCCTAACTATAAGTCATCGCTTGTAAGTGACAGTGCAGTCAGAGCACCCTGGCTATTAGTCTAATAAATTATAATGTATAATGAATTATGCTACAATTATAAACAACTCTGGAGGGAAAAAAGGTGCATCCTCGTGTATAACGGCTCCAGACCTATATTCATATTCACAGTTTTTTTTTTTTCCAAACACGTCATCACTCTGGTCTCCCTCCAATCCTGCCAAAAAAATGCTCGATGCATCTTCCCTATGAAAGTAACACGTGCAATGTCAGACCAATGAGATTTTGGTCTTCGAGAGCGCATCGATCAACCAACCAATCAATCGACTGAAGGATGACAGCCCTACTTATATTATGTAAATAAAAAAAGAGAAGCAAACCTTTTCGATATTTTAGAAGATTAAATCAGTAACGGTTGAGGATTTGCTAAAATTGTTGTTGTAAATAAAATTTCAGTCAAATCATTAACATATATAGCCACATGATATAACATAACATATCTTTGCTTTTCTGAGAATGTCTTTTCAGACCACATACAAAAGATTAAGTACGATTCCAAAAGCTCTATACAACGCTTTAGCAGCGTGGGATGCTCATTCAGCTCAGTTAGTTGAGCTGGCGCCCCATGATCACAGGCTACAGCCCTTTTCCCCACTGGTCGCAGGTTCAACCCCTGATCCTGTTTTTGTTGGTGCAAGTCACGCCCTGCTCTCCCTCACTCCATGTCCCGTCTATTTTCCACTGTCCTGTCCAAATAAAAGCAAAAGCCCCCAAAATCATCTGGAAAAACAAACATGTTCCTGAAGGTAAATTGAAAAGTCTGCCGTCTCTTTCACCAGGTGATTCCTCCAGAGGGCTGGAAGCCTCGGAAATCCTACGACAGCATCGAGGACATGGTGATTCCAGCTCCCATCACACAGGTTGTGACCGGACAGTCGGGTCTATTCACTCAGTACAACATCCAGAAGAAGTCTATGACTGTAGGAGAGTACCGCAAGATGGCCAACAGCAAGAAGTAAGTTGGTCGCTTGTTGTTTTGTGTGTTTTCGTTGTTGTGTGTACACATGGTCAACCACATACTAAGAGGAATTGATACTGATACTTGTACTGTGCTTTCTCTAGTTTCATGTCACTGAAATCAACAAAGACTCAAACATTTCTTGACGTCTTTTTCTGTTGCTCAATATTATAAACCTACAGGTCTAAAGTTTGAAACCAGCAAGACCAATATGTCTACAGGCACTGTATAAAATTGAGGCTGTACATTTGTTTAGAACTGTATTTTCTGCCCTCTAGTGGTAAAAGTCTTAAATGAAATAGAATCACCACTATAGTATCATCATATCATGTTTATTGAGGATATAATCTAGGACTGGGCATTTTCAATACTTCTACATAAATAAGGAATAAAAATGATGATATTGCAAAAAAAAGAGGGAAATTGTTGTCGTCCGTTTTTCCCTTTCCTATGGTTCTGAGATGAAGGTATTTAGAAAACCTAGAAGTGTCAAAGAAAAAAAGGTTGAACTTCTCCTAATGCTGGATGCTTTCTAATAGGGCTGCACGATATTGGGGAAAAAATGACATTGCAATATTTTTTTGTCCTGCGATATATATTGCGATATTTTTTAAAGCTTACTGCTTCACTCTGTTCAGCTCAATTCTCCGTATTATGGGGATATTTATTAAATATATTAACGTGCTGCATGTGCGCCCCTCCAGCCTGCGTGCGAGAGAGAGAGAGAGACACACAGCGGGAGCGCGCACATACACACAGGCTGAGCAGATGCGCAATGGCTCACAGAGTTTGTCCTCCTCCTGCGTTTTGCCTTTTTTGTAGGCTTGAGTAATCAGTTGCCAGAGATGTAAATCAATGAAAAGTAATGTTTACAGACATTTCTAGAACAAGCACAATGCATTTTGTGAAAACGATCCGCCTTGGAAAGAGAAAAATGGCGATTTCCGCAGGAAGCAAAGCAAACTTTAAGCAACGGATTACTTCGACATTAAACTACGACTGTTTCAAGTTTTATGGCAGCTCATGAAAATCGCAAGGCGTGTGAAGGAGGACATGAAATAAACAATAAAATGGGCCATCAGAAGATCGAAACTTACACT